CATTCTCTCCAACATGTTTGGCAGTGATTTTGAAGTGCAGAGAACATTTAGCATCAACCATCAACCAAGAAAGTACTGTACACATTTTGTAATGTCAAGCAACGATGGAAAAAAAAACATTTTTCCCCATTGTAATTCCATCAAATAAACAAAACATCAATTCAACTTTGTGTCTTGCTGTTTTAGCTTTAAGCTTTTATTTCTTTTACAACCCAATCGTCTAGCTAGTCACTCTAAGCTAAGCAGTGTTGCCAACTTAGCAATTTTTTTGCTAAATTTAGCAACTTTTCAGACTACCCTAGCAACTTTTTCTTCCAAAAACACCTAGCAATAAATTTAGCTATTTTAAAAATGTATTTGGCAACTTTTGATAAGTGACAGACAATAAAAAGTCACACATTTTCCATCCAAATTACACGAAAAGAGGAAACCAAAGATGCCTAGCAGTACACACATCATGTGAATTAAGTTAGCTGCTATTTGCAATTGTTCAATTTAATAATAATAATAATCTAATAATTCTTAATTTATGATACACTTTGTTTGTAGCTTGTACCTGCGATTGTTGTTCAGTTAGTACACTGTAAGAAAAATGAAAAAGATACTAGTAATTTTCCAAGATATTATCCATTATCCACTGTAACCCTGTAACCAGAAAACACAATGCGTAATTTAAAATGCAGGTAATGGCAACTTTTGATAAGTGACAGACAATAAAAAGTCACACATTTTCCATCCAAATTACACGAAAAGAGGAAACCAAAGATGCCTAGCAGTACACACATCATGTGAATTAAGTTAGCTGCTATTTGCAATTGTTCAATTTAATAATAATAATAATCTAATAATTGTTAATTTATGATACACTTTGTTTGTAGCTTGTACCTGCAATTGTTGTTCAGTTAGTACACTGTAAGAAAAATGAAAAAGATACTAGTAATTTTCCAGGATATTATCCATTATCCACTGTAACCCTGTAACCAAAAAACACAATGCGTAATTTAAAATGCAGGTAATAATAAAACCCAATATGGAAAATTATTTCATATTGCGTAATTTAAAATGCAGGTAATAATAAAACCCAATACGGAAAATTATTTCATATTAACATATTAGATTGTGCCCTATTTTTACAGACTTTGCTACTTCTACTACTAGTGTAGCATACTAACTAACTACTAATACACTGCTTAAAGCATAATTGTTGAGAATGTGTAGTATTACTAGTTTACTAGTTATTAAAAAAACGTTCAATAAGTGTTCAATAATTCAATGTCTGTAAAATAGTTATATTTTATTATATTACGCATATTTTACAAACAAATCTAAATTAACATATATAAAATAGTTTTTTGCTGAGACTTCATGTGACAATTTTGCATCTTGATTACGCGTGACGTCATCGCACAAGGACGTCATAAGGTCATTTAGCAACTTTTAGCAACAAATGGACCTTCCTTTAGCAACTTTCTCTGAAAATTATTTGGCAACACTGAAGCTAAGTCACTCTTTTTGCTTGCCCATTTGCCCAGACAGAAACTCGTGCTGAATGTAGCTTGACAATACAATATATTAGTTCACCAGAAGAAACCAAGAACATTAAAAAAAAGCTTTTTGATGTTTCGTGTAAATAAACTAGAATAATCTGAATTTTACTTGCGATCTTGAATCAATTAATTAGCAGAAGTTATTACTCCACCACATGCACACGACGTAATTAACGACAGTAGGCTACTATACTATGGGGTTACAATTCTGCCACAATTTTGCGCGCGAAAGATCATCTTTTGAGCAGAATTGTAATCCCATATTATATTTAACACATAGCCTATGTGTGGTTCAAACGACGGAGGTATGACCATATAACTGCGTTCACGTCGAATTATGAAGAGTTACGTCGTTGTACTTGCGAAAGATGCACCCCTGCGTAGCGGTAAATATCAGACGTGATTATATCTTTCTGAAACAGCTGTTTTGATGGTTTGATATGGCACAGAATTTGGAAATTACTACCTCATAAATATTTAAACAAAACAACAATAATAGCAAAGAAATATCTTTCAAACTCATTTATAAATATTACTCCAGTAACCATTTCCTTGTAAACAGATTTAACTGCGATATTGACATGCGTTGTACATTTAGTGGTCTACATAGTTTTTTTTTTCAATAGTTTTGTTTTTTCTGCGTTTGTTAAAGATCACATTATGCACAGCTTTCAACTACGTTTTGAAAATATTATATTTGTTTTTTTTCCCCACTTACGTCATTCCATAAGTAATGTTATTGATTTATTTGTTACTTTTGTTTGCAAAGTTTAGTATACATAAATGCAAGTACGGTAATTATAAACCATTATTTCTAATTTTGAAATCAGAAGTTAAAGAATACAAAATCTATTTATTTATAATCTGTTAAACAAGAAAGCTGTTAAGTGTATTATGTAAACATTTCCATGTTTTTATTTAAATTTGTATATTTTTATTTTTTAACATTTATCCAGTCCGGTAGGTGGCGCCGGTCGTCAATGTAGCTGTCAGAGCATCAAGACTTCTTCAGTCTGTGGTTGTGAACGGGAAGTGCGGAGTGTGTGCGTGCGTGCATTTGAGCTGAGAAAATTAATAACGCGTTCAAAACGCGAATCAAAAAGTCTGACATTTGTAGTCGTTGCGGGAGGTGTGTGCGTCTGCTGTGTGTGAATATTGTACGCTTTGTGTGGAGAGGCAGAAGACGGAGAGTTGTGGTTCATCTCCAGCCCATCAACTGCTACTGCAAAACAAAGCAACCTCTTATAATAAAGATGCACAGGATGAGCCATAAGCGCAGTAAATGATCACTTTGCAGGGAATCTACCAGGTAATGTGCATGTTGCGTGAGGAATATTTAGTGGTCTCTGTGTGCACTATGGTCTTTCTAGGGTTGATGTGGTTTTCTAACCTGGTTCAACAAAATAATAGGATTTTATTATTTATCGTTTTGTTATTGTTAATGTTAGATGACATACTATACTTTATCTAAAATGTTTTTAAAGAACAGTAATTATTTTATTATTACTATCCATGCAGTTTTATGGCCATATTAATTAAAAAAAATATTGTAGCAGGACTGCATGGAATATTTGTACTCTAAAACATCAGCGACATTTAAAAATAACCAGTGAATTCGAGCAAAAAATAAATAACCTAAGAGTTTGATGGTCTTTGATCTGTTCTGTATCATCTGCGCTAAAGGCCTGTTCACAACAACACAAATTTCAGATTTTTTTTCGTGCAATTTATGCATTTTTTTATTTATACATTTTTTTTCCTGCTCTGACCAAAGAAAAAAAATGGCAGACAGGCTGAATGAAAGTGCAGATTCATTCTCTTACAGTAGGTGGCACTTATAGAAAAGCATAAATACAGCAGTTACCCTGGTTAAGTAAACATTGGTTACACAAAGCAACGCTGCTCAAAGCTGCAGCTTCTGTTTCTAATAATTAATGTGCGGCCACATTTACCAGCGAATTTACAGCAGAACATTTTTTTTTTTTTTTCGCTCAGCGAAATTTCTTGAGTGAAGTCGGAAGTAAAAGCAGTGGTCACATTAGACTTTTGGCATGGAAACATTTTTTTTTAACAGATTTACATATAATGCATATAAAACATATGTAATATACTTCACTTAACTGCAACGATGTAATCCTGCAGATTTAAAGTTTGCGTTCTTTTAATTCAGGAGGCCACTGCAGTCTTCTATTGTTCACACATCTTCACGCGATATAAATTTACAGGGTTCAAGTTCAAACTTCTAAATGCAGTGAAATGTGCAAATGCTTGCGTTTCCTGTCTTCTGTATTCATGCGTGTATGAATAGAAGTCAATGGAACGAAAAAGTGTAATGTGACCAGCCCTTAATGCATGAGGGCGCAGATTTTTGACCAACAGAAATCTGCTTGGTTTGAAAGTGTCTTCTGTGTGAGCCGTGCTTCATACATCACTACACTATTAAGAATGAACAATGGCCCTTTTTTTGCCCACAAAATTTTGCAAATGTGACTCCACCCTAACTTGCTTATGATGGAGAATAAAGTAAATCAAACAGCATGTGACAAAAAAAACTACAATCTTATCGGCTGGCCAGTTTTCTTTGCAGTGCAATGGAAAAGAGACCAGACGATCTGGGGCCGGTTGCATAAACTGTTTAGACTAGTCTTAAAGGGGTCATCAGATGCCACATGCACTTTTACAACCTGTTTGAACTGAAATGTGTTGGTAGTGTGTGTACACAACCACCCTATAATGATAAAGATCTACCCAGTGTCACCGCTGGAGCAGATGTAGACAAGAATGACTCCTAAGCGATTGAGGTGTTCTGTTGTTGGATGTAATAATGAACATAGCAGTCGCCATTTACTCCCGACATCTGAGCCGCTGAACTCGCAGTGGATTACCTTTGTCTTTGAAGGGAATGCTCCCTCGATCTGCCTAAATGAGTCTATGTTCGCGCGAATCAGGCTGCGTTTACACTGCAAGTCTTAATGCACAGATCCGATCTTTTGACCATATCCGATTTTCTGGCACGTCTGTTTACATTCACTTTAGACATGACTGGTATCCGACTGGTCGAATGGCCATTATTATTTGCCAGCATGGACAACGGCAGTCATGGATGTTTTGCAGCACAAAATCTGACTGAATGGATAAAGACCGGAAAATAACGGTAATTTTAATTTGTTAGACTATTTTATCTACAGCTCGTTAGAGGTAGAATTCTTTAGTGAAATAAAGATGATATTTATTGAAATGAATTCAAATTAAGGAGAGAGAGAGAGAGAACGAACGAACGAACGCATGCACCCACGTGCGAGCGAGCGATTGTGAAGCATTGCAAACAAGCTTGTCGGTTTAATTACAAAAACTGCTAAGTTCTCACCTCATTGCTGAGAAATATATGTAGCTTTTAGCTGTTGTACTTTCAAAATTCACGGGGCAGGGGTTGAAAACCAGCTCCTGAATGTGCAATTTCTTACCTATAAAAAGTTTCCATCGCAATAAAATGCGAGCGCATACAGCACGCCGGCATTAAAACGCCATTAAAAATCTTTATGCGCAAACGTGTCGCCCTCGCATTGGGAGTTCTGTGGAGAATCGGATATGTGTGTTTAGACGTAGGTGGGATGTCCAGATATCAGATGTGTATCCGATTAAAATCCACATTTGGAAGTGGCTCAGATCGGATGCAAAAAAATCGGATCTCGTGCGGGTTTTTGTGTTTACACGTGTGCAACAAATTCCGATCTGTGTCAGATGTGAGCGAAAGATCGGATTTTTTGTGCCAGTGTAAACGCAGCCTCATTTGTGATCCAGCTTCACGTCCAGAAGAAGTGAGTGTAAGGTTTTTTAATGAATCTTTACAAATCGCCTTTCCTAATAAAGTGCTAGTTAGCAAGTTTCACGATGAATCTGAAGGGAAGGGAATGCTCTAAACTAAAGTTTACCGTCTCTCTGAGAGCGGCTCGGAAGAGAGGGGTGGGGTCAGCAGAGCTCATTTGCATTTAAAGCGGCATGCAAGAAAACATTCCCCTTAAAAGAGCTGTTTTTGGCGGTAAAAAACCATCTGTGTTGTTTTACACTACCATTGAGAAATTTTAACCAAACTATGTTACAGAATTTTCATTAAGACCCTAAAGAATCATATCAACTTGTGGAAAATGGGCATCCGATGACCCCTTTAAAAAGTTCTTCTTCAAGACTGGTCATAACTTTTTTTAATTCAGTTTTGAAAAGGTAGATTGGTCTTATTTGTATTCGAAAAGTGAGACTGATTACTACCCCTTGGCAACTGCTATTTGTTAAAACTAGTTCTTAAGACAGGGGCTAAATTTATGCAACTGGCCCCTGAACGGACCCATTAATGGACATTCATTGAAATTCAAATGTTTAGTGCACCAAATGTCCTTCTTGGTGTGAACAGGCCTTAAGGTTGCACGCATTTTAATTAAGGCTTGTTTTCAAAAGTGGTACGATTTCCTTCTGTCTCTCAGTGACATCATGAATTTGGTCCGTCTCGTGTGTCGTCACAAGACAGCCCTGGCACTCAGTGTCTTCTTCTTATTCGCCGTCGTCCTTTTGTTCCTCGCCAAATGTACGTCTGAGACGCTGAAGCCGGCCGAGTCCCCAGGTGTGGCGCCGCGGGCCGAGTCACATCAGAAGCTGCCGGCAGGGCCTCCTCACGCCAAAGAGCTCTCCACGTTCCTAGTCGTTCTCATCACCACGGGCCCAAAGTACACGGAGCGTCGCAGTATCATCCGGAGCACCTGGCTGACCAAACACGATTCCGAAGTGCTCTACTGGTTTGTCATTGGCACCGAGGGTTTACCTCCAGAAGACCTCCAGAACCTCGGAACCGAGCAGATCCGTCACCATGACCTCCTCCTGCTCCCTGACCTCCGGGATTCATACGAGAACCTCACGCAGAAACTGCTTCACATGTACTCCTGGTTGGACCAAAACGTGGAGTTTAAATTCGTTCTGAAGACCGACGACGACACCTTCGCCCGCTTGGATCTCCTCAAAGAGGAGTTGAAGACCAAGGAGCCCAGCCGACTCTACTGGGGCTTCTTCTCCGGCCGCGGGAGAGTGAAAACGGCCGGGAAATGGAAAGAAAGTGCCTGGGAGCTGTGCGACTACTACTTACCTTATGCCCTGGGTGGAGGCTACGTGCTTTCCACCGACCTCGTGCACTACGTACGTCTCAACGTGGGGTTTCTAAAGACCTGGCAGAGTGAGGACGTGTCCTTGGGCGCCTGGTTGGCCCCCGTGGACGTGAAGCGGGTTCACGATCCGCGCTTCGACACGGAGTATAAGTCGCGCGGCTGCAGCAATAAGTACCTGGTCACTCACAAGCAGAGTTTAGAGGACATGTTGGAGAAGCATCAGACGCTACAGCAAAATGGGCGTCTGTGCAAAGAGGAAGTCAAACTGAGGCTGTCCTACATTTACGACTGGAGCGTCCCGCCTTCTCAGTGTTGCCAGCGGAAGGATGGCATCCCCTGACTCTTTGACACCCGTGATCATATGCATTTTTTCCACTTGCTATTTATTTATTTATTATCAGTGTCGTGTGTCGAGCCGAAACAGCATTTCTTAACCTTTTGAAAAGGCTTTTTAAATTAGAAATGTGGGAGATGATGTTACCGAAAAGCTGCTCTTTTTGAGATCGAGATGTTTTTCCTTTATTAGGCTGATTCGAAGTAGAGTCAGCTTGTACGGAGAGCCTGGGGGATTCTGGGTGAAGTGAGATATTTTTGCTGCATTCTCCGCATACACCTTCTGTACTTGATGTCCACCCATAGAATTCTCCATCTTATCGTTCATTTAATCCTGAGATGTTTAGAGCATATCTGTTGAAATAAATTGACATGGATAAGAAAAGGAATGTGCCAGACTAGCAGTTTATTAACAGGAAAGAAACTTGAAGATAAATGTCCATAAACCTAAGTATTTTGACAAATGTTGTCCATTGTGATGCCTGAGATGGTTTTCTTTGTGAGTTTTGCTCACAAATTTGCCATATAATTATAAAGCTGTCTTGAAGATTAGAGAACTTGGCCGCCAGGTTTGGCAGTATTTCTAGTATTTTATGTGTTGTGACTGAGTTGTAAATAATGTATCTCAAATTTTATTAAATGGTTTTTGTTCAGTTTTTACACCAGATCAGTCTCCTTGTATGATTTTTTTAATTTAAAAAAAGAGTAGTTTTATTAAAACCATGTATTAGGATGTGATCATATTTACCTTTGTACAGTGAAATTCTGTGGGAAAAAATGCATCCATCTCAATCAAAATTGGCGCAATGTGTAATTCTGCATTTTACTATACAGATTTCACATTGGATTCATGTTTGTTAAACTTTGAACTAGGGCTGCACGATTATGACAAAAATCATAATTGTCGATTATTCCCTTTAAATTGTAATTGCGATTATTAATTACGATTATCACAATTTACATTGAATGATGTTTATACCATTGTTTGAAGCAACTGCATGCCATATTTTTATATGAAAATAAACAAGCTGAAAACACTCAAAAGAAAAAATCTTTTATTGCCTTTCTATAGCATTAAGGCTCAAATGTCAACTGTACATTGGATTGGTTTCTTCTTTAAATAATAAAAAAAAGTAAAAATATGAATGGTATTATAATGTTATACTAACACTAAAATTAAAACAATGGAGAAACCCTTAAGATAACATATAGAAAGAAAAAATAGTGGACTTTGAACGATTAATTGCCGCTTTGAACGATTACGTAATTGTGGCATCTGTAGTTGTAATCGCGATTAGAAATTCAATTAATTGTGCAGCCCTATTTTGAACATCCAAATTCGCCATGTTGAGCAATGTAAAGCTACTTTAGTTTGAAGTGATTTTGTGCATCACTACACTATTGATAAATGGATAGTGAACAGTGGATTTTCACCTAGGTTTCGCTAATGTGACCACGTCTCAATTTGAAATCACTTAAAAAAAAGTCCATGTGAACCAGAAATTGTGACCAACTTCAGTATTGTGACGTATTTCCGAGTGCAACAGAATATTGCTATAACGGTGGGGGGTGGGGGGGGGAACTCTAATCTAAAAGTTTTTGGGCCCTGGATGGTAATACAAAAAGTCATTTGCACACTTTAAAAGCCATTTCAGATTTGGTTGCGGTGAGAGAGCACAACACAAAATGACAGAATCATGCTGATGATAATGATTCCCTCTGAAAAAGCAGTTCTTTGAGAAAATGGGTTTTGTTGTATTCGTAGTTCTTCTGTTGGTTCAGTAGCCTGTGACGGTGATGTGTCTCAGGTTTTCCCGCACTCGAACAAACTCTGGCATGTTTTGTAGGTCCTCTCTGCGTCTCAGCTCTTCCTGCTCGTACTGTAAGGAAAGAATCACAGGTCCAATGAGTCTCCTAAATACTCATAATACAGAATTGAAATCTCTTTTTTGTTTTTCACAGGGTTAATGGTACAACACTGTTCAAAAGTTTTGGGTAGGCAAGATTTTTTAATGTTTTTTTTATTTCTTATTGTGCCATTGTTGTCGTTGTAGTCCTTAAGTCATGATTCACTGACAGCAGCGCTAAATGCCTTTGCTTGAATTTCAAAGTTCTGGCATGAAACTCTAGATGGCGCAGTCCGATAGAGCTAACTCAATATGACATAAAGACATCATTATCACATGGCACATCTGATTGGTTCTCTCCTGTATCGGTAGCCAATGAGCTCCCTGCTCAACATTCAAATATATGACTAGTGCTGCCGTAGCAGTTGCAGCTTGCTTCAGAAACCCTCCACTTTCCCCAGCTCCACCTGTATAGATCTGCTACGGGATGATCATGTATGCTGTTTCTTACATGCTCACAGCAGCATGTTGTGGATGTATTGGCAGTAGCAAGTCTCGGTACTTGCTCTGCAGCAGCAGCGTAGCAGATCTGTTCCGCCGAGACCAAACACATTAACATTGTCATGTATATTACCATGCCAATCCCTCCGAGAGTTGTCATGTTGAACTGACGTCATGCGTGAACCTGTGAACACGTACCGCCAGGAGTCTCTGGCGTCTCTTGTGCAGCTCTTGCTCGAGGTCAGATGGCGGATGTGAGGCTTGTTCTCTCTCTCTGTGCTGCTCCAGTCTCCTCTGTTCCAGCACCCGCTTCAGCTCTGGCTTCTCTTCAGGCAGGAGACCCCTGCAAACAGTTTTCAATGAGACCTCGTGTGTTTATTAGCAAAAAACAGTTACTCATTCTAGTGATTCATGCGATATTGTAGAAATTCATTTCTTGAAAAGTTTAAACGTATTTATCTCTCACTTGATTGAGTTTACACTATTATTAGGAATATAAAATATTTAATATATTTTTTCAAAATATGACAAAAAAACAAAATTAAAGCCTAATGTTCATGTAATCTATTGTCATAAACACACCTTTCTAGGCAAGTACCAAATGTGACCCTGGACCACAAAAACAGTCATAAGTAGCATTGGTATATTTATAGCAATAGCCAACAATACATTGTATGGGTCAAATTCATCGATTTTTCTTTTATGCCAAAAATCATTAGGATATTAAGTAAAGATCATGTTCTGTGAAGATATTTTGTAAATTTCCTACCATAAATATATCAAAACTTCATTTTACGTAATATGCATTGCTAAGAACTTAATTTGGATGACTTTAAAGGTGGTTTTCTCAACATTTTGATTTTTTTGCACCCTCAGATTCCAGATTTTCAAATAGTTGTATCTCGGCTAAATGTTGTCATATCCTAACAAGCCTAACAAAGTTTATTTATTCAGCTTTCAGATTATGTATAAATCTCAATTTAAAAAAAATTGACCCTTATGACTGGTTTTGTGGTCCAAGGTCACAATGAGTGTCGAAGTCTTTTTGGTAGCACTTTATTTTACAGTACGTGTACTTCACAGGTACATACATGGCAAATATCTTGTACCTACAGGCAAATGAGTGGTAATACAAGGTAACACAAAACCTGAAGTGTAACAAATAAGAAACACGGCTGTACTTAACAGTCATACATGCATGGTAATTTGTTTGTACATACAGACAAGTGTGGGTACTTACAGGTAGTGCCCGTACATGGTAACTAATTAGGTACTTTACTGTACTTACTAATGTATATACATGGTAAATATGTAGTACTTACGGACAAGTGGGTACAAACAGGCACATCCTTACAGTATCCGTATATGGTAACTAATAAGACACATTACTGTACATACTAATGATATGTACATGGTAAATGTGTAGCACCTACGGAAAAATGTGGTATTATGTGGTAACAAACAAAACCCATACTGTACTTGGTATATATACGGTACGCTTGGTAAGTCCTAACCTTACCTAATATAAAGAGGACTATTTTTCAATTGCTTGTGTAGGCCTGTTAATGCTAAATTGCTCTCCACAACAGTGCTTACAAAGTTTGAAGAACTGGCAATTCCTGTGTAATGTTTATGTAAAATGGTGCACTTTATTTTACAGTCCTATTTTCATATACTTCCTATGTACTGGTGTATGTACCTACTAGTTAATGTACAGAATAAGTTATGCGGAACTCAAGCTGGGGGGTATAAACATGGACCAAGGTACTTATTGAGTAATTGATGGTAGGTGCCATTGCAGTTTGGAACTTTGGAAGTTGGTTGGGAACACGGCAGTAACTGTGCAGCACTGAATAATGTTAATACTTAGCAGGCACAGTCCATTTAAATAGGGATTTAGACACATGACAATCAGGAGTTGCAAGTGCAAATATGAGTCTGGTAGCTACTGTATAATTCCAACATAAAATCTCTCTACACACATAATTATTAGGAATGTACGTCATCAAAAATCCCTATTGGACCAATTAGTTAAGAGAATCCGTGTCGTTAAAGATAAGGCAAGTTAACTGCAATGGCACCTACCATCAATTACTCAATAAGTACCTTAGTCCATGTTTATACCCCCCCAACTTGAGTACCGCATAACTTATTCTGTACATTAACTAATAGGTACATACACCAGTACGTACATAGTAAGTATATGGAAATAGGACTGTAAAATAAAGTGCACCATTTGACATAAACATGGAATTACCAGGTCTTCAAACTTTGTTAAACTTTACCATGTATAGACCATTAGTAAGTATAGTAATGTGTCTTATTAGTTTCCATATACTGATACTACCTGTTAGTGACCGTTATTACTCACGCTTGTTGGTAAGTACTACATATTTACCACATGTATACCAAGTACAGTATGTGTCTTGTTTGTTACCACATAATACCACATTTTTCCGTAGGTGCTACAGATTTACCATGTACATATCATTAGTATGTACAGTAATGTGTCTTATTAGTTACCATATACGGATACTGTAAGGATGTGCCTGTTTGTACCCACTTGTCCGTAAGTACTACATATTTACCATGTATCTAATTAGTTATCATGTACGGACACTACCTGTAAGTGAACGTCATTACCCACTTGTCTGTATGTACAAACAAATTACCATGCATGTATGACTGTTAAGTACAGCCGTGTTTCTTATTGTTTACCATGTACATACACTTCAGGTAAGTACCTTGTATTACCACTCATTTGCCTGTAGGTACAAGATATTTGCCATGCATGTACCAGGGAAGTACACATACTGTAAAATAAAGTGCTACCGTATTTTTAATACAAGTTCATTTGTATTTAACATGATCACAGTTTATTAAATCCCCGTTAATTTCCGAACCGTGGCCAGTGCACGAACAACAGGTGCTCGACACATGCGCACTAGAGAGATTCATCCTCTTTAAAATAGAGTTGAGTGCTAACAATTTGTTCTCGTTTAAACTATAGTTGCGGGTATCCCTTAATTCCCTCACATACGCGCTTGTCACAGCGGGTGTCTATTGTTGCTGCCGTCTTCAGTAGTTTGTTGTTCTTGTTCTGTGTCCTCCGTTTCTTTTCCAAACTAATCAAAGACCAAAACCGGGCTTATAATGTTTTAATGTCGTCAAACGTGATTTTTGTGAGTCCACACACGCTCAATAAGAGATTAGCCTGCTGGTGTTGTTTTCTATCTATGTGCCCTGTAGATCCCCTTTCCCAGAGCTCAGGGAAGTCTGTTGGGATTCTGTTCAGACGGCAGATGCTCTGATCCCTGTGAATTGGCCTCAACTCATCCACACATAATTGAAAGCACAGCCTCAACACACACCAAATCGCAGAAGCGCCCTGTTTTGTATGAGTCCGCTGTAATAGACTGCTAAAGTCACCCGAGAAACCATTTCTGGGCTGTAAATGAACAGGAGGGGCTGTTGTCATTTCTAGCTCACCATCTGTGGCTGACTAGCAGTTCACGATGTAAACCTCTACGACTAGAAGACTCCAAAACAGGGTTGAACAGTTTCTTCGGCCGGATGAGATCGTCCTGGCCTTCAGTAGCCTGCTGGGATGCAGTAGAAGCACCGCTGGAGCTTTCTGACGGACGGAGAAGACAAAATGTTATCAGAGCTATGAGGTTATTAATTTTTGGGTTCTTACCCAAGAAGATTTCAAGAAAATCATAAAGGGCTGAAAAAATACCTGTTTTCTGATTCTTCTGTCCCATTCTTTGTGAAATAACCTTATAGAAAAAAAAAATAGATAATTCAGATTGTGTTATTTCTGCTATATTTATAATTGTTTGTATTTATTTTATTTTATATATGATAATTGTACCTTATTCTACAATTGTACTATTCATGTTTAATATATATATATTAAAATCGTATTAATTTATTTACTAACATAAATCAATACAAAGTAGATAACAACAAGAAAAATAATTTCAAAAAACTTATTTGGGGGTGTTGCGTGTTTTAGTGTATTCGTTTATTATTAAAGGCACAATATGTTAAGATTTTTTAATTAAAATATCCAAAAACCACTAGAACAGTGTTATATATATTGCTGATTTGTGTACTTACATTATTCCAAATGTTTCGAAGAATGTTTAAATCCAGAGAAATAAGCAATTTTAACTAGTGACACGGACCGTGTCCATAGTGTCATTGTGTCGCCTGCCAATGACGTCATAACCCCTCGATTTCCGGTTTTGTTTTGTAGAAAACATGGAAACACCAAAGACGCTTTAATATGTTGTGCGTTTTAATAGACCGGTGATGACCGCACAGAGTAGCATTATAACATAACTTTCAAATGTATCTAGTATGATAAAACAGCGCTGCTTTACCCCACATACGCACGACCGGAAGGAGCAGAAGCGGTCGACTGTGGCATAATAAAAGCTCCGCTGCTTTCGAGCCGTGTGTCGCGCTCGTTCAGCGGCCTTGTTTCGCTTCGACGGCTTTCAGCCTCACCCTGCTTCATTCTACTACGTTAATAAATCATTAGCTCATCCATGATCATGATTTCTGCCCGAGTCCCGTCGGATTGCATCGGCTGTGGGGATGAAGACAACAACTCCCATGATTCCACACTCAGTCACGGCGTCATCAAACTACGCCTTTGTTTTGATACGCGCCTCTAGCGGCGAAAGATTACGTATTGTGCCTTTAAATTAGGCTATATAACAAAATTATATCTTGTACATTTTTTGAAGAAATCATTTAATGTTATAATTAAAACATTGTAACCAACAACAATAGTACTACTACTGTACAACTCCCATGATTCCACACTCAGTCACGGCGTCATCAAACTACGCCTTTGTTTTGAATACGCGCCTCTAGCGGCGAAAGATTACATATTGTGCCTTTAAATTAGGCTATATAACAAAATAATATCTTGTACATTTTTTGAAGAAATCATTTAATGTTATAATTAAAACATTGTAACCAACAACAATAGTACTACTACTGTAAATAACAATATCAGTATTATCATTATTACTATATTCGTTAAGAATTATTTTACAATAATGTTACCAAATTATCTAATTCAAGGCATGAAATTTGAAAGTACATGTTAGCCATGTGAAATAAATAATTATTCGCACTAATATTCAAGTCACAAATTCGCATTATTAAAAATGACTCAAAATTCATTGCAAAGAAAACCCGTGGTAATGAAATCTGTAAGCAGGTTAAATCTTACCTGAGTTTTGTAATACAGCAGCATACTGAAGCACAGATCTGTCAGCAGGAGGTGGACGGTACGCTTCTCAAGTGCACAAACACAGTTTTAAAGGCAAAGCTGGTTGCTCCACAGTTTGATGCAACGAATGGCATCAGATTAGCTGCGTAACACACCTCAGGATGATGCCCATTGCCCAACAGATGGTGGATTACATACAGATTCAATCCCATTTAGAAGCGACCTGCTTTGCTGCTTACAAAAATGCAGCCACTAAGACCTATTCTCTCAACATGCAAGCAGAAATGTGTTTATAGTGAATTTGTTTAGCATTTGAACAAGATTAGTAGATTCTTCTAATGGTCCACATGGCATTTTATGATAACTTTACCACTGAAACCATGACAGCATGGAGGTAGACGCTAATAGCTTACTGTGGCACTGCATTAGGACGTACACACAGAAATAAAACATGCCAACACAGCGGCTGCCAAGTACTGCCAGACGACAGCTGAGCACACCTTATGGTCCCTTTCTCCTGCCAAGAGAGACCCTGCCAGGATCTGCAGGATGCTATTAGAGACGGGTGGAGAAACACTCAGTCTCAGACACTGTGGGTGTCAGTCGCATTCAGCACGGACTTCATATTAAAGTATCTTTAAATCATTTGAGGATAGTAAGCAAGCACCACATCTGTAGGTTTGCTGCACTAAATTATGTTCGAATCGTCAGACACACTTGTCACAGTGTTACAAATGACAAAAAAAGAGAACAGCTCTTTTCACAATTTTGCTGCTTTAAATAGTTTGTGAGCTTTACTTTGTAAAGAGATAACAATCAGTCAAGTAACAATACATGAACATAAATAGTTAAAAAATATTACTATTATTATTATCAAACATATAATAAAATATAACATTATTATTAATAATAATAATAGCTAATACAATAATGGTTATATATATATATATATATATATATATAAAGTTGCATATTTTTATTTATTATTAATGTGTATTATTATTAATGTGTGTGTGTAAATGTGAAATATTTTGATTTAACAATTTAGTATTATTATTATAATTGTCATCATCGATTGTTATTAATAATAGTTTTATATAATTAATAATATATAACATTATATATAGAATTTTATAAAAATTATATCATTTTATAAAAACAACATTATCTAAAATATATTTTATTATGATTATTGATAATAATAATACATAATAATGTACAGTATATGTATTAGTAGTTGTATGTAGACTACAAATATTTTGATTCCCTAAACCTACCGACTGTAAAAACAGTATTACCCATCTTCTCGTATTAGCTGTAACGAAGCGAAGGCTTTTAATCTGTCTGGTGATTTCCCATAATTCCGCGGTACCGGAAGCCTGTCAAAGCCATCTCTCCTGCGCTGTCTATGCGGAACTGATGAAGAGAGTAAATAAAAAACCACTGGCAACTAGCGCTTCTTCTCAACACGGGATTTGAAAGCTGCGAAAATGACAAACGGTATGTTAATAAAGACGCGTGTTATGATGAGAACGCTACAGGAAGTCTGTGTGGTCCGATAGCGTGTGTGTGTGTGTGTGATGTGTTTTTTGAACATTAAAGCATGTCAACATATACTGTTACACCAAATACACAAAATAAGGATCTTTAAAAAAGCATCATATGACCCCTTTAACATTTAGGCCTAAATATTTTTTTCTTTGAGTGTAACAAACTTATTTTATTCACTTTGCAAGCAATGTATATTACTACAATCATGGTACTGAAATAAATGAACTTTTCCACGACATTCTAATTTATTGAGATGCACCTGTACACTGTTGAGGATTCTGGACGTCTTTTAAAAAAATACATATTTTTTCTTCTCTTAAAAATTATTATTAACATGAGTTAGTAAGTAAATTTAGTTTTAAAACTATTGTGTTCATCATCTAAATTGTTAAAAAATGCTTAAATTATATTCAACTGTTATTATTTAAAAAAACTCATGTTTAAATTATTTGAATTAAAATGTGTTTAAATGACAAGTCTGAGTTAGCCTTATGCAGTAAATACACACACACACACACACACATATACATATACATATTCATTAAAAATGAAAAGAATTTAAACTATTTTATACACGGGTCAAAGACGTTAAGATGTCTGCATCAAAAGAAATTTAAAACAGTGATTTTATGTCCATAGAAAGCACATTAAATGTAAGTAAAGTGTCTACTTTTAAGCTTTCAAATAAGTTTTTGGAGAATAAAATGTCAAAATGTGGTTGAAATAATGTTACATTGTCATTCAGTGTAACACAAGATGTATGTAAAAATTCAAACAACATGCTTATTCTGACTTGTAGGCCTACTTATTAAAATATATAAAAGAATAAGGGAGCATATTAAATTTTATTGTGTTTTAAATGAGTAAAAATTCTTATTGAAAAATGGGCAAAACCTAGGATAGTGGCAAATTAAAAAAAATTAAAATTACAACTAATTAGTATTTGGGGTGAAAGTAATTAGTCTTTTAATATGTCATAAATAGTTTTTTGTTGTAAATATGGCTGACAAGATTGTTACACTGAATGACATTTTAGTGGGTTTCTTCTGTAAATCAGGGAAAAATGTATGATACTTATTTTTGCTCGGAAAAACAAAAACAAAATTGCAATTAAATTAAACAAAAAAACTTTTTACATTTTTTGGGGAAAAACAACAACAATTTAAAGCAGTATTACACTTATTGTTTTTATGCTTAAACCCTTTTTCGTCTTTGACCCAAACACATACACGGTCAAAAGTTTGGAATGCTTAAGATTTTAAAAGAAGCCTCTTATGCTCACCAAGACTGCATTATTTGATCAAAATACACCAAGTATAACATTGCTAATAAGAATAAATGTTTTCTTGAGCAGCAAATCAGCATATTAGACTGATTTCTGAAGATCCATGTGACACTGAAGACTGGAGTAATGATGCAGAAAATTCAGCTTTGATGACAGAAATAAATTACATATCGAAATGTGTATATATATATATAGAGAGAGAGAGAGAGAGAGAGTATAATTTAAAATAATTATATAGAAAATATTTATTTTAAACTGTACGAATATTTCATTTTATTGTACTTTTGATCATAAACATTAAAAATCTGCATTAAAAATACATAGTGTTTCCCAAAGGCAACATACCTAAACATCACTTAAAATTATTTTCAAAAAAGTTTTACTTGAAGTAAAATTCAATTGAAAACACATGTTTTAAGCTGCTTGTAACTAGGGCTGGGTATCGTGTTCGATACTTTTTAGGCACCGACCGAATTGCCTCGATACCATCGAGTATCGAAAAACGTCTCGTCGTTCGGTACCACATTTCGACACCTAAGGGGTTAATCTCATCAGCGCCAGTGAGCCAATAAGCCTGCAACACAAGCCGGTGTGTTCGACTAGAGGCGCGGCGCAGATCGATCAGTGTTTGACATCCGCGTGAGCGATTCGAAAGCGCATGGAGCAGTCTGCTCTCTATAGCTCCCGTGGTACTGTAATACACCGATCGGTCTGCACAGTCATGCCTGTTTCACACATACTCCGTCTGCAGTGCGTGTGCGTTGCGTTTTTTTTTTACTCACCCATGTTAACGGATTAGAGCTTTCACACTGCACGCGGTTGCGGTCTGTCAGTGCGTTCCAGGTGCGGCGAGTCTGCAGCAGTGCAGCGATCGTTTAAGCACCGAGTCTATTTTTGCTGTGCTGCAAGCGCTGAATTAAAGTGACAGCGCATTGTAAACAAGGCAACATATGCACTTGTGTCTTGTGGAGGTAGAAAAACAAAGTTCTTTAAGACCCGCTGGACTGTTTGTAATAAAGATTTAAATGTAAAAGGCACGAGAGCCGACTGTTTCTGTCAGTGGTAAGTTTTAATTTAAAATATTTGTGATAACCTAACACAAGAAAGCTATATGCTGTGTTCAAATGTGTTTCCACTTGCTTGAGCAACTTAATATACAAATCTAGAAGCCAAATACATTTAATACGCTGTTTATATTAATTGAGTTTAAACGTGAATAGGCTATGTACGCCCCGCCCCCACGGTGATACCGGTGTTGTCACACGTCGATTAAACGGGGGGAAAATTTCCTCACCGTCACAGCCCTATTTTCAAGCCGGCTTTCTACTATCTCCGACAAATGACAAGCGACAGACCGGTCATTCAGTCATTCATTTCCAATGGAAAGTAGCGCGGGATCTGCGTGGAGTTCCGATCATATGCAGATGTCCGTTCATACTACATGACCGAAAGTGCGTGTTATGTGGCCATTCATGCAAACTGTAGCATCATGCTACATAAGACAATAAATAAGATTTATATTCTGCTTTTACTCAAAACTCACTTTAAACCACCATTGAGTGTTTGTAATAACGTCCGATTGCCGTCTAATGTGTGTTTTGGCCATGTAATGTTGCTTAAATTAAATATGTTATTACCTCTGACTCGGAGTCAGAGCAGCGATCTTTAAAACGAACACGCACTAGTGTAAATGTAGCCTAACAGATGTGCAAACTGAAGACTATTTGAGCTTTATAAAAACTATTTGCACTGATTTATTCTGTTGGTTGCATTTTGTTCCTTTGTGCAGTGGCTCAGGAGATGAGTCTTTGAGTTTGTATAAACATCAAGCTGAAAAATAAAACCAAAGTTTGTTTTTTGTTTAGATAATGTAATCTTGTTAAAATTGATTTCATAAAATAGGTATCGAAAAAAGTATCGTTCAGGAACCGGTATCGAAGTCAAGGTATCGGTATCGATATCGAAAATGTTTGACCGATACCCAGCCCTACTTGTAACAGAGTGTGCTCTTCATTCACAGTGTACTCTTTCGACGGCATTCTTGTATTCGGCCTTCTTTTCATTTGCACGTGTGCTTACCTGAAGAAGGTCCCTCGTCTGAACAGCTGGCTCTTGTCTGAGAAGAAGGGTGTCTGGGGAGTCTTTTACAAAGGTTAGTGCTCTGTTGGAGCTGTACTGAAGATCATTATGCTGCAGTGAGTTTTCACGCTCTCTGTGTTTTCTCTTCTGTCTGCAGCTGCAGTAATAGGCACACGGCTCCACATCGCTGTGGCGGCGTCCTCTATGT